CCACTTCCTTATCACCAATTGGTTTTAAGAAAGATATGGCTGCTATTTAACCACAGAACTCTGGAGTTAAGTGAGCCCGGGGTAAGAAAGCCCAAGGATGGGTGACCCACTGGGATGTTTGTCGACAGAGGTGAATAGATCCAACAAGGAGATCTCTACAAGTTGAAGAATCCATTCATGTCAAGTTTGATGATAGCACCTCTGCTGAAGAAATTTCAGAAACCCTGCAGAAAATCAATCTTGAAGATAAGGTTTCAGAACTATTAGAAGAGGTCACTATCAATCCAGTACTCTCAACTCCTATTACTAATCCAGTTCTGATAGACAAAGATGAAGATGAAGATGAAGAATCAGAAGATGAACCATCAGAGTTGCCTAGACAGCAACTATCAGAACCTGATCTAACTTGGTTAAAAGACCATCCTCCTAATCAAGTGATTGGTCAAGTTACCAGTGGAGTAAGGACCAGATCAGCATCAAGAAGAGAAGCCATGTTCACCTGCTGTATTTCCCAGATGGAACCAATGTGTGTGGAAGAAGCTCTAGAAGATTCAGATTGGATCAATGCAATGCAAGAAGAGCTGACACAGTTTGAAAGGAATGAGGTATGGAAACTTGTTCCTCGACCAAAGCATCAGAATGTCATTGGAACCAAGTGGGTATTCAAGAACAAAGCAGATGAAGAAGGCAACATTGTAAGGAATAAAGCAAGGCTTGTAGCAAAGGGATATTGTCAAGAAGAAGGCATAGATTTTGATGAGACCTTTGCACCTGTTGCAAGATTGGAAGCAATCAGAATCTTCCTAGCCTATGCTGCTTACAACAACATCAAGGTCTACCAGATGGATGTCAAGAGTGCATTCCTGAATGGAGAACTTGAAGAGGAAGTTTATGTTGAACAACCTCCAGGTTTTGTCATTCCTACTCAATCTTCTTGTGTCTACAAGCTCAGAAAGGCTCTCTATGGTCTTAAGCAAGCTCCCAGAGCTTGGTATGACACATTGTCCCTATTCTTAGTGAACCATGGGTTTACTAAAGGAAAGGTTGACAAAACTCTATTTCAGATTACTGTTGCTAATCATATTCTGTTAGTGCAAATCTATGTTGATGATATTATATTTGGAAGCACTAATCCAGAATTATGCAAGAAATTCTCTCAAGTTATGCAGAACAAGTTTGAAATGAGCATGATGGGAGAACTCAGTTATTTCCTTGGATTGCAAGTCAAACAAGTTCCAGAAGGCATCTTTATCAACCAAGGGAAGTACACCAGAGATCTCATCAAGAAGTTTGGAATTGATGGAAAATCTTCAGTCAAAATTCCTATGAATGCATCTCAAGGAATTGGACCAGATGATGAAGGAAAGGATGTTGATGCTACAACATATAGAGGAATCATTGGATCTCTCCTCTATCTGACTGCAAGCAGACCAGACATAACTTTTGCAGTAGGAATCTGTGCCAGATACCAATCAAAGCCCAAGGAAAGCCATTTGGTTGCTGCTAAGAAGATCATCAGATATATCAAGGGAAATCCAAATGCAGGCCTATGGTATCCCAAGGGAGGTAACTTTGAACTAATTGGTTACTCTGACTCAGATTTTGCAGGTTGTAGATTGGACAGGAAGAGCACTTCTGGTCACTGTCAAATGCTAGGTGGGAGACTTGTCTCCTGGTTTAGCAAGAAGCAGAATTCAATCTCAACTAGCACTGCTGAAGCTGAGTATATTGCTGCTGGAAGCTGCTGTGCTCAATTACTTTGGATGAAGCAACAACTCAAGGATTATGGAGTGCAAGCAAAGGAAATCAAGCTGCTATGTGACAATACCAGTGCCATTGCCATCACTCAGAATCCTGTGCTGCATTCCAGGACAAAGCATATTGAGATCAGACATCACTTCATCAGAGATCATGTGGAGAAGAAGCACATCTCAATTGAGCATGTTCCAACTGAAGACCAGCTTGTAGATATTCTAACCAAACCTCTCTCTGAGGCTAGGTTTAACAAGTTGAGAGAAGAATTGGAATGATGGATGATCTTCCCAGAGATACATGAATCAGAGTTGCAGAAGTATCAGATATGGATTCATCAGAATACCCCATCTCCGATACCTGAGCTCTTATCCGTCAGAAGCTTGAATCAGAGTTGCAGGAGCATCAGATATGGATCTATCAGATACCCCACCTCTGATACGCGTATTCATCAGAGGACCCTGTATCAGAATACCCCTTCTCTGATACATGGACTGTTATTCATCAGAGTGGCTGTGGACTTAGCAAAATTTTCTAAATTTCGGGCGAGACTATTCAATAAACCGGAAGTTACTATTTTACCCCCGGTAGTTATTACCATATTTGGAAAACGGCTTTCCGCCCACAATTCATTAAATGCGACCTCGAAACCCCAAATTAAATGAAACGTCCACTAAACCAAACCCGTATATACCCCATCTGTAAACCTAAATTGACATTGCGTTCTATCTCTCAGTACTCAAACTCTCAGAAATCTCAATCTTCTAAATATAATATCATCAACATAGATTTGCACTAATAGAATATGATTAGCAACAGAGATTTGAAATAGAGTTTTGTCCACCTTTCCTTTAGTAAACCCATGATTCACTAAGAATAGGGACAATGTGTCATACCAAGCTCTGGGAGCTTGCTTAAGACCATAGAGGGCCTTTCTGAGCTTGTAGACACAAGAAGATTGAGTAGGAATGACAAAACCTGGAGGTTGTTCAACATAAACTTCCTCTTCAAGTTCTCCATTCAGAAATGCACTCTTGACATCCATCTGGTAGACCTTGATGTCGTTGTAAGCAGCATAGGCTAGGAATATCCTGATTGCTTCCAGTCTTGCTACAGGTGCAAAGGTCTCATCAAAATCTATGCCTTCTTCTTGACAGTATCCCTTTGCTACTAGCCTTGCTTTATTCCTTACAATGTTGCCTTCTTCATCTGCTTTGTTCTTGAATACCCATTTGGTTCCAATGACATTCTGATGCTTTGGTCTGGGAACAAGTTTCCACACTTCATTCCTTTCAAACTGTGTCAGCTCTTCTTGCATTGCATTGATCCAATCTGAATCTTCTAGAGCTTCTTCTACACTCATTGGTTCCATTTGAGATATGCAGCAGGTGAACATGGCTTCTCTTCTAGATGCAGATCTGGTCCTTACCGCACTGGTAACTTGACCAATCACTTGATTAGGAGGATGGTCTCTTAACCAAGTTAGATCAGGTTCTGATAGTTGCTGACTAGGCAACTCTGATGGTTCATCTTCTGATACATCATCTTCATCTTTGTCTATCAGAATTGGATTGGCAGGAGGTGTTGAGAATATAGGATTGATAGTGACCTCTTCTGATACGTCTGAAACCTTATCTTCAAGACTGATCTTCTGCAGGGTCTCTGATAATTCTTCTGCAGAGGTACCATCATCAAATTTGACATGAATGGATTCTTCAACTTGTAGAGTTCTCCTGTTAAGTATTCTATAGGCTTTGCTAGAACTTGAGTAGCCTAAGAATACACCTTCATCAGCTTTTTCTTGAAATACTTTCAGGTTCTCCTTTCCATTGTTTAGAATGTAGCACTTGCATCCAAACACATGGAAGTAGCTGATGTTTGGCTTTCTTCCTTTCCACAGCTCGTAGGGGGTCTTCTGATGATTCTTGTGGATCATGCTTCTATTCTGAGTGTAGCATGCAATGTTGATAGCTTCAGCCCAGTATCTGATGGGCAGTCCAGATTCTGCAATCATAGTTCTTGCAGCTTCCTTCAGTGTTCTGTTTCTTCTTTCTGCAACACCATTTTGTTGGGGTGTTCTGGCAGCAGAGAGTTGATGGAATGTGCCATTCTGATCACAGAAGTCTTTGATCACCTTATTGACAAATTCAGTTCCTCTGTCAGATCTGATTGTCCTGACCTTCATGTTCTTCTCAGTCTGAAGTTGTTTTAACAGAGATGGCAACTTCTGAAGTGTTTCATTCTTCTTGGTCAGAAACACAGTCCAAGTATATCTTGAGTAATCATCAACCATAACAAGAGTATATCTTTTTCCACCAACACTGGGAGTTTCAACAGGTCCAAATAAATCCATGTGGATCAGATTTAGAGGACAGGTAGAAAGATCTCCAGCTATGGGTTTGAATGAGGTCTTTACTTGTTTGCCTTTCTGACAAGCACTGCAGAGGATCTCCTTCTTGTAGACAATGTCAGGCAGACCATCTACAATGTGTTCCCTTGCCAGTTTGTTGATTGTCCTTTGCTATCAGGCAAGTTCCATCTTTTGCTGTTTGCCAGTCAACAACATAGATGTTCTTTCTTCTTTTGGCTGTAAGAACCACTTCTTTGGTTGTCTCATGCTTGACATAGCATAAGGTCTTGGTGAATTCAACTGTGTAGCCTTTGTCACAGAACTGGCTAGCACTTAGGAGGTTGAACTTCAGACCTTTGACATATGACACATCTTCAATGATTATCTGGTTCTTGATCAGCTTCCCTTTTCCTTTTGTTTGCCCTTCCTTGTCATTTCCACCGAAAGTGACTCTGGGTCCATTGATTTTCTGGAACTCTGATAGGCAACTCTTGTCACCTGTCATGTGTCTGGAGCATCCACTGTCAATATACCATTCTTGTTCTGAGATAGCTCCAGCACACAGTTCCTGCAAGATTAAAAGGAAGATTTAGGTACCCAAGCAATGTTGGGTCCTGGGGGGTAATGCAGTCTTGGTAGTTGGTACCATTTTGGTCTCATCAACTGAAACCTTGGTGGATGGTACCCATTGTCCACCTGGTAGTCGTAGTAAACAGATGTATGATTCACTTTGGGCAGATGCTTGTGAGGATCATGCTTTCTGTTTGCATACTTTTGCATAGCCTTCTTTGTTGGAAAGAAGTCCCAGATGCTATCAAGATCAGATGAGCGCTTAACTTTAGGCTTCTAAGGTTGACCAGACAACCTCTTCCGCCTATAGTTGATCTTCTCTTGATATCTGCCTTTCTGATAGCAGTTTCTGATACTGTTGTCATGAGATTGTCTGATGGAGTTAGGCCTTTGATTATTATTTTTCTGAAAACTCTTCCTTTGGTTAGAGTTTCTGCCAGATTCATTAGTTTTCAAACTTTGTTTTGGTTTGGCCTTTAGAGTTTGTTTCTCTGGTATGACCTTCTCATGAACAACTTTAGTACCAGAAGTACTAGCATGACAATTGGGGCTCAGAGTCTGTGTCACTATGACCTTTTTAGCCTTAGCAACTTTGGTGCTAGGCCTTACAGAAGGCTCACCAGACTCTGGTTCAACATATCCAAGACCAGAGGTGAAGTTATGAGAGTCACCAATATTCTTCATGGAAGATTGCATCTTCAGAAGACTATTATATCTACTCTCAAGTTCCTCAATGTCTCTTATTCTTTTCAGAAGAGACTCATTTTCAGCTTTCAGTCTGTCTCTTTCCTCAGTTAAGAGATTAAGTTTACACTCAGTCTCTTTCCTTAGATCAGAGATATCAACTTTCAGCCTACTGTTCTCATCTTTAACAAAAGAATAAGTGGCTTGGATAGTTTGGAACTCTTCCCAAAATGATGACATTGGATCATCATTTAGGGCTGTGCCTACCGAAGAAGAAATGGAATCAGAAGTGGAGCATACCTCATCATCTGATTGTGCCATGAGGCAAAGGTCTTCAGTTTCTGCATCCAAGCAGCAGAATGCTTCATCAGAGTCGGAGTCTGAACTGGACTCTGATTCAGAGAGTGGATCTCTCTCAACTTGTTCTGAGACAAATGCTCTTCTTCTTCTGTGTTGATCATCTGGCTTCTTTTCTTCTTCATGTCATTGCTTCTTGGACACTCTTGGATAGGGGCAGTTTGCTTTGAAGTGCCCAGGTTGTCTGCAGTTGTAGCAGAGATACTCTCCATTGCTCTCAGAAGACTTGGTCTTCTGATGGGGTCTTCTGCTAGAAGATGGACTCCTTCCATCTTTCTTTATAAACTTCTTAAACTTCCTGGCAAAAGCTGTCACGCCCCGGACCTATCCGGACACGTCAACAACCCGCCGTACAATATGAATAGTCAACCGCAGTCCAACACATTCATAATATACAAGGCGTCTTGAATATCATTCACACATACACATCCATAAACAAACATAATAAGTAATTCGTAACGCAGCGGAAAACATTATTTAAAACGAAAGGGGCCACACAAGGCTATTCATGAGCACACAGGCTCTACAGTAAAATATCCATGAGCATGTTTATTAATGTTTAAAAACAGAATGGAGGAAGCACGAACCAAGTCTTCCCTCCTATATGATCTCTCGAGCAACGAGCACAGGAAGCAAGCTCTAGCCTCAACCTGAAAAATGGTGGTGGGACGCCCCCGAAGGGGTCAGCACTCTATAGGGCTATAAAGTGCTGGTGTGGCAGGCATCTAATAGATATACAACAAGTATTTCACACACAAGACCCTCAAATAGGGTGATGATATAGTATAGGCTGTAATCCCAGATTACCCCTTTCAAAATACATACTTACTTTATATAAAATCAAGTAATCGGCTCAAAGGCCCGTGTTTGTTATAAAACATTTCCCAAACCCCGTGACTAATAGTCACGACAATACATAGGGTCCAACCCTAATATAACTTCTCATTTCTAGAGTTAGGCTCGAGTACATCATCATGCACTCGCATCATAGATCTCCTACTTCATATAATCATACCATAGATCTCCTACTTCATGTATTCACCCCATAGATCTCCTACTTCATACAATCACACCATAGATCTCCTACTTCATACAATCACACCATAGATCTCCTACTCCATGATATCACACTTGACACTTAAATCTCATTCAAGTTCATCACAAACAACTCAAACCTTAAGTTTGATTCTATCAACATTTAGAACAATCCTTAACTAGCATCACAATACTATTAAGATTATTCCTACAACTCATTTATTCTTAATGGTAGCCCCTCCATATCAATAGATATGTGGCAGCCTCCCATGTGCTAATCATCATCATGTAACTATACATTTACATACACATAACATTCACACACGAGTTGGAAAGGTCATTTTACCATATTAACATACCTTTATCTCACATAACTCCATATTCATCAATATGGTTTCAATTCATGATCAAGTCCATTACTTATCATTCATATCATGTTCAAGCATATTTATTCACAAAAACATGATTTAAGCATTTAGGTAATCTCATGCATAACCTACAAGTTGTAAGCAACTAGATGTCGGTCCTCACCTCAAATGAGCTTTAAAACCTTCCTTCTCGATCCAATGACCAAAGCCTCGGCCAAGGAAGATTGAGAACTGGTTCCTTGCTTGAAAATGGGTTTTAAACAGCTTCCTCAAGTTGCTATTTCAACCCCTAATCGTTGATACGAAAACAGCCCCTAGAACGGGTGTTTTCCGGCTAACTCGATTCCTAGTTTTCCAATATTTGCTTTAGGTTAGTATCTAACCTTTACATCAATAAAATAACTTTTCAAGGACATATTATACACTTGGATTAGTGTACAATAGTCCCACCAATCGTTCATATCATTTGGAAAATGAATGGAAAGGATTTGGGGTTAACAACTCACTTTAGAAGAGTAAATCCGTTTCTGCGAGGTTGTGTTTTGCTCGGACGATTTGGAAGCCTTCCTCTACTCCGATTGATGCAAACCAGACCTTCACGGATTCCTCGTCTTGAGAGATTTCTTTTGGTATCTCACACGCCTTAATTGGATTGGTAAAACTCGAGATATCAACCAAACAGTCTCAGCACTCTCACAGCTCGAATTCACAGACCACTGCTCGCTTCAGATCGATTTTTGGATGATTACTCACTCCTATCGAACAGAGACCACTCAATTATGAAAATAGACTTCAAAGGCTATCCAAGGACACCTTATACACCTCATTTGGACGAGTACAACTCTCAAAATGAAGGGAGACAAAACAGCACACCTGTTTGTGCGAAAACAGTGGTGGTGGCCCCAAAATTTGATTCCAATTGTGTCATGGGCAGTGCTTCTCCATGTGGTGCGGCCAAGGTGAGTCTTCTCACATATTTTCCTTGTCTTGCAGGTACTAATATCATTTGGAGTGGTTCCCAATTGATCCCATTAAATTTGGGGTCCAAAATATCTACCAATACTTCCAAAAATGGGAAGATGGGTACTATTGTTTTATCTTTGTCAAAAATGTCTTTTTGTACTCATCCTAATTTACTTAGAGCAAGTCAACTTCCTAAATCACATTATTGATCTCCAATATGTGTAGGCTCGTCCCAATAATTTACTTGATGAATATTATAGAAGGAAAATCCTACTCCCATTATTTAGCTCAATAAGGCCCAAGGTGGGGTTATAGGCATTTGTATTCTTCCTTAATCATTCAATCACTTATTTGACATTTGTCATACGTATTATTGGGCTCTTTTATTTATTAATAAGTCCCGAATAAGTATTTGCGAAACCCGACACTAGTGTACGAGTTTGAACAGTACGATATTCAACCATGCACTACGTAGAACATTAATCGTTTTACAAATTGTTCGGGAATAAAAAATCCGATACATAAACTTTGAATATCTAAATCAAATCTCCAAGGACATTCGGGTGCGGTGTCACAAGTTCACCGCCCCTTAACAGGAATTTCGTCCCCGAAATTCACAGCTCTACTCGAATAGGAAAGCATACTGCTTCCTCATCAAAGCTTCTGTTTCCCATGTTTCTTCCTCGACCCGATCGCTCTTCCACAGGACTTTAACCATTGGGACTTCCTTGCTCCTCAGTTTCTTCACCTTTCTATCGGTGACCTTGATAGGTTGAACAGCGTAGTTCAAATCCTCACGTACCTCTACAGGTGGCTTCTCCAATACGTGAGAGGGATCATGCACATACTTCTTAAGCATGGATACATGAAACACATTATGTATCTTCTCTAACTCAGGAGTCAACTGTAGACGATATGCCACGGCCCCAATCCTCTCTATAATTCTGAATGGACCTATGTACTGTGGGTTAAGCTTCCCTCGGGTTTGAAATCGAATGATTCCTTTCCAAGGAGAAACTTTCAAGAACACCTCGTCATCAACCTTAAACTCTAAGGTTCTTCGACGCTTATCTGCATAACTCTTTTGCCTATCCTGAGCCGCTTTGAGTCTCTCTCGAATCAATTTCACCTTTGATTTGGTGACCTCAACCAACTCAGTACCCTCGAGTTTGGCCATGCCAACCTCGTCCCAGCATAACGGTGTACGACACCTCCTCCCATACAATGCCTCGTATGGAGGCATGCCGATGCTGGCCTGATAACTGTTGTTATAGGCAAACTCCACAAGTGCTAAGTGGTTGTCCCAACTTCCTTGGAACTCCAATGCACAAGCCCTCAGCATGTCTTCCAAGATCTGTATGACTCTTTCAGACTGTCCATCCGTCTGTGGGTGGAAAGCAGTACTGAACTTCAACCTCGTTCCCATAGACTCCTGAAATTTCGGCCAAAAACGTGATGTGAATCGTGGGTCTCTATCGGATACAATGGTCACTGGGACCCCATGCAGCCTCACGATCTCATCCGTATACAATTTGGCTAACCTCTCAAGTGGGTAGGTAGTGTTGATAGGCAAGAAGTGTGCACTCTTTGTGAGCCTATCCACAACGACCCAAACTGCATCATAGTTCCTGATTGTCCGTGGTAAACCTACCACGAAATCCATAGTCACGTGTTCCCACTTCCATTCAGGAATGGAAAGTGGCTGCAATAAGCCTGCTGGATGCTGATGTTCTGCCTTAACTTGTTGACAAGTAAGGCATCGACTGATGTACTCGGCTATTTCCCTCTTCATTCCAGACCACCAGTAACTTTCTTTCAAATCACGGTACATTTTCGTGCCCCCCGGGTGCATGGCATAAGCCGATGAATGAGCCTCCTCTAAGATGGACTTTCGGAGCTCATCATCTGACGGCACACACACTCGGTCACGAAATAACAAGAGACCATCATCTCTTGCCCTGAAATCCTCCACCGGTCCCGCTTGCATGCGTTCCCGAACCTTCATAAGTTCTGCGTCAGTCTCTTGACCCTTCTTGATCTCATCAAGTAAAGTAGGTCTTACCTCAAATCGTGCCAATAAGGCACCATCGCTGGATACCTCCAGTTGGGCTCTTAATGCCCTCAAATTAGCTAGCAATGCCCCAGACGAGCTCTTCCGGCTCAAAGCATCTGCCACCACGTTTGCCTTGCCTGGGTGATATTCTATCACTAGATGGTAGTCTTTTATTAACTCCATCCACCGTCTCTGTCTCATGTTTAGCTCTTTTTGAGTAAACACATATTTCAAGCTCTTGTGATCAGTGTATATGTGACATGTCTCCCCGTAGAGATAATGTCTCCATATCTTCAGTGCAAACACCACAGCCCCCAGCTCCAAGTCGTGAGTAGGATAATTCACCTCATGCTTCTTCAACTGTCGTGAAGCATAGGCGATTACCCTCCCATTCTGCATCAGCACGCATCCAAGCCCTTGGATGCTCGCATCGCTATAGACATCGTACCCCACACCCTGTTTGGGTAATGCAAGTACCGGTGCCTCGGTCAATCGCTTCTTTAGTTCCATGAACCCCTCCTCACATTTGTCATCCCATACAAACTTAGCTCCTTTACGAGTGAGCTTCGTCAATGGTGATGCCAAAACAGAGAACTTCTCCACGAACTTTCTATAGTAGCCTGCCAGTCCAAGGAAACTACGAATTTCCTTGACGTTCTTTGGTCTCTCCCATTCGGTAATGGCTTCTATCTTCTTATTATCAACAGCAATTCCCGACCCTGAAACCACGTGCCCGAGGAAGCCAATTTCCTTAAGCCAAAATTCACATTTAGCAAATTTGGCATAGAGTTGCTTCTCCCGTAGTGTCTCAAGAACGAGTATCAAGTGTTCTTCATGCTCTTCCTCACTCTTTGAGTAAATCAAAATGTCATCTATGAACACAATCACGAATCGATCCAAGTATTTATGGAATACTCGGTTCATCAAGTCCATGAATGCCGCCGGGGCGTTTGTTAACCCAAACGACATAACAAGGAACTCAAAATGCCCATATCTTGTGCGGAAAGCACTTTTTGGTATGTCGTCTTCCTTAATCTTCAATTGATGGTAACCCGACCTCAAATCAATCTTTGAAAACACGGTCGCCCCTCGTAGTTGATCAAACAAGTCATCAATTCTAGGCAAAGGATACCTATTCTTGATTGTGACCTTGTTCAGTTGACGATAGTCAATGCACATTCGAAGTGTTCCATCCTTCTTTTTCACAAAAAGAACCGGTGCTCCCCACGAGGAGTGGCTTGGTCTAATGAAACCGTTATCCAAAAGCTCTTGCAATTGGGTTTTCAACTCGTTAAGTTCAGCGGGTGCCATGCGGTACGGCGGTATGGAGATTGGTTTGGTGCCGGGCTCGACCTCGATCACGAACTCAATCTCCCTATCGGGTGGAAGTCCCGGTAAGTCTTTAGGAAAGACGTCCCGATACTTGCATACTACCCTAACATCATCAATGCTCGTCTCTTCTTTGGTTTTGTCCACCACATACGCTAGATATGCGTGACATCCCTTCCTCATCATATTCTTAGCCCTCACAGCGGATATGATACAACTATTGGATTTCGCCCTATCCCCCTCGAAGCGTAAGGTTACCCCTTCATTGCCTTCGAGTTCAAGTACTTTCGTGTAACAATCGACCCTAGCATGATGCTTCTCAAGCCAATCCATCCCCAGGATTGCATCGAACTCAATCATACTCAGCGGCACGAAATCACACGACAAGTTTTGGCCCTCCACTTCCACCTCACACGATGGATAGTGGCTATCTCTCTCGATGTCTTCCCCTAGGGGTGTGGATACCAATAGGGATTGAGCCATCGGTACTAGGGGTGCGTTGAATCCCCCGGCGAATGCCTCACTCACAAATGATCGTTGCGCCCCGGTATCGAAGAGGATTCTCGCACATCTCCCATTAATCTTTAGTGTTCCTACATTTATAAGACATGTAAGATACCTCTCTATCATACCGACCAATCCTACGAAGAACATAATGCGAAATCATGTCCTTAAAGTGGGCAAAATCCCCCAATTATGGTTGACGTTCGCAGTTGAGATATAAATTGACACTGTCTCACTGTTTTGATCATATCTCTTCACATACTTAACCAAATCGTTCGATTCAAATTCCATCATTTAGACAATGAAAATATCTACAACTTTCGTGAAGACAACTTTTTCATTTGACGAACACTTCGAGGTGTACCCGGTCGGGTAACATACTATACCCGATCGGGTATAAGTTCCAGTGGGTTCGGGCAGATTTTTTTTTTTTTGACAAACCCGGTCGGGTTTACCACCATACCCGGTCGGGTATGTGTTCCAGAAAGTGTCGGGGAGAAATTTTTGACAAACCCGGTCGGGTATACCACCATACCCGGTCGGGTATGTGTTCCAGAAGGTGTCGGGCAGAAATTTTTGACAAACCCGGTCGGGTATACCACCATACCCGGTCAGGTATGTGTTCCAGTGGACTTATAAGTGCAAAAACTTGGCCTACCCGGTCGGGTTCATTACCAAACCCGATCGGGTATGCGATCCAGAAGGTTTACGAGGGCAAAAACTCGTCCCACCCGGTAGGGTTTATTGCCCTACTCGGTCGGGTAGTAGCATGGTTTTGCTCTCCTTTCCCATTTCGGTCTTACGTCTGCTCCCACCTGGATTCTAGGATTTATAACTTCAATTTATGGATGAGGAATGTGTAAAGCAAGAGGAGCTAAGCGGTCATACCTGCAACCGAATCCGGGTTAGCCCGGGCATCCGCCTCCGTCATCGCATAGACTCTAGCTTGAGTCCTTTCTTGATTCACCGATGGCGCGTTGCTCGCGCTTGCTCCTCCATGCCCCCTAGTTGATTGGGAACCCCGGGCTTGGTTTCTCGTCCCCGTGGCCCCGCTACTTGGTCCCGATGACCTTGCCCCGCCCAATTGTGGGCAATGCGCCTTCAAATGCCCGGTATTCCCGCATTGGAAGCATCTAGGAGGTTCACGGCATTTTCCGAGGTGACTCTTCTTGCAATTCAAGCAACGAGGCGTCCCCGAGGCTTGTGACCCCGAGTCATGCCTGCTCGAGCCCTGGTTCCCCCTAGATGGTGGCGGAGGTGCACGGAAAGATCCCCCTCCATGGTTCCCCTTTTTGTTGGAACCTTGGGAGCCGTGACTCTCCCACTTCCTCTTCTTCGCCTCCTCGGCGTTCCTTCGTTTTCTTTCCTCCCACTCCTTCTCTCCCTTCAGGCCTTGTTCAACCACTTGACTAAACGTCATATTAGGCAATTGTGTTGCCCTCTCGCGTATGTCAAGGTCCAAGGCATCCCAGAAGTGATTCACCATCCGGTTCTCATCACATATGTACTCCGGTATGAATTCCGCGAGTTCCCTGAATTTGTGTTCAAGTTGCCTCACCGTCATCGTGCCACCTTGGGTCAGGAGGGTATACTCTCTCCTCTTATTGTTCACCTCAAAATCAGAATAGTATTGGGCAAAGAACTCCTGACGGAACTCCTCCCAAGTCACGGTATTGCCATACTTTCCCTTGGCTCCGTCCCACCATGTGGATGCCATCCCTTCAAGCAACCTCACCGCCACCCTTAGTTTAAATTCGGGGGTGAGTTGCATATCAAGGGCTGCTTCGTTCAACCTCTTGATCCATTCGGCGGCAACCGAGATGTCACCCGCTCCGTTGAAGGGTTTGCACCCCAAGTCTCGTGCCTCTTTGAGGTATTTGGAGATCCTTATGATCGGACCTCCATCACCCCGGCCCCCATGTGGTTCAATGTGGGCCCTAGAGTCTCCATGGCTTCTTCCTCTTGAAGCCCCACCCGAAGTTCGCCCTCCTCGGCGCCTTCGGCGTTCCCTCCTTTCCTCGCGCTCCCGCTGATATTGTTGGAGTAGCGCCTCAATTCTTGCTAGGGAGTCATTCTCCCCTTCTTCATCACTCACATCATCGTCATCCCCTTCGTAAGGGGTCTCAACCGGCTCGGTTTCCGGTTGGTAAGTCGAGTCCTCATAGGACCAGTAGGTTTCACTTTCTGTGTCGACATGACCGTCACTCACGGTCTGTGATCGGCCTCCACGGCCAGCTCCTCTAGACGCCCTAGAGGTCCTTCGACTGCCCTGTCCAGTCTCCACTGGTACACGGCCCGTTGGGTTTCTCCTAGTAATCCTGCCACCACGGTCCATTTCTGAAAGAAATTTGGAAAGAGTCGTTAGACTCGTATCAAATGTCAATTGACGGATAGGTACTTAAGACACATTTTGGCTCGAGTCACCGCCATACCAATTGCTAAGGGTACCATCTTAACAATTAGAGACCTTGCAACCCAAGTACCAAAAGCTCTCCAAGTACAAAACTTCTATGCTCATGGTTTTCAAAATCTTTTCAAAAAGAGAATTTTGAGACTTCATTATGAAGTTTATGGACTAAGGCTCTGATACCAACTTAATTGTCACGCCCCGGACCTATCCGGACACGTCAACAACCCGCCGTACAATATGAATAGTCAACCGCAGTCCAACACATTCATAATATACAAGGCGTCTTGAATATCATTCACACATACACATCCATAAACAAACATAATAAGTAATTCGTAACGCAGCGGAAAACATTATTTAAAACGAAAGGGGCCACACAAGGCTATTCATGAGCACACAGGCTCTACAGTAAAATATCCATGAGCATGTTTATTAATGTTTAAAAACAGAATGGAGGAAGCACGAACCAAGTCTTCCCTCCTATATGATCTCTCGAGCAACGAGCACAGGAAGCAAGCTCTAGCCTCAACCTGAAAAATGGTGGTGGGACGCCCCCGAAGGGGTCAGCACTCTATAGGGCTATAAAGTGCTGGTGTGGCAGGCATCTAATAGATATACAACAAGTATTTCACACACAAGACCCTCAAATAGGGTGATGATATAGTATAGGCTGTAATCCCAGATTACCCCTTTCAAAATACATACTTACTTTATATAAAGTCAAGTAATCGGCTCAAAGGCCCGTGTTTGTTATAAAACATTTCCCAAACCCCGTGACTAATAGTCACGACAATACATAGGGTCCAACCCTAATATAACTTCTCATTTCTAGAGTTAGGCTCGAGTACATCATCATGCACTCGCATCATAGATCTCCTACTTCATATAATCATACCATAGATCTCCTACTTCATGTATTCACCCCATAGATCTCCTACTTCATACAATCACACCATAGATCTCCTACTTCATACAATCACACCATAGATCTCCTACTCCATGATATCACACTTGACACTTAAATCTCATTCAAGTTCATCACAAACAACTCAAACCTTAAGTTTGATTCTATCAACATTTAGAACAATCCTTAACTAGCATCACAATACTATTAAGATTATTCCTACAACTCATTTATTCTTAATGGTAGCCCCTCCATATCAATAGATATGTGGCAGCCTCCCATGTGCTAATCATCATCATGTAACTATACATTTACATACACATAACATTCACACACGAGTTGGAAAGGTCATTTTACCATATTAACATACCTTTATCTCACATAACTCCATATTCATCAATATGGTTTCAATTCATGATCAAGTCCATTACTTATCATTCTTATCATGTTCAAGCATATTTATTCACAAAAACATGATTTAAGCATTTAGGTAATCTCATGCATAACCTACAAGTTGTAAGCAACTAGATGTCGGTCCTCACCTCAAATGAGCTTTAAAACCTTCCTTCTCGATCCAATGACCAAAGCCTCGGCCAAGGAAGATTGAGAACTGGTTCCTTGCTTGAAAATGGGTTTTAAACAGCTTCCTCAAGTTGCTATTTCAACCCCTAATCGTTGATACGAAAACAGCCCCTAGAACGGGTGTTTTCCGGCTAACTCGATTCCTAGTTTTCCAATATTTGCTTTAGGTTAGTATCTAACCTTTACATCAATAAAATAACTTTTCAAGGACATATTATACACTTGGATTAGTGTACAATAGTCCCACCAATCGTTCATATCATTTGGAAAATGAATGGAAAGGATTTGGGGTTAACAACTCACTTTAGAAGAGTAAATCCGTTTCTGCGAGGTTGTGTTTTGCTCGGACGATTTGGAAGCCTTCCTCTACTCCGATTGATGCAAACCAGACCTTCACGGATTCCTCGTCTTGAGAGATTTCTTTTGGTATCTCACACGCCTTAATTGGATTGGTAAAACTCGAGATATCAACCAAACAGTCTCAGCACTCTCACAGCTCGAATTCACAGACCACTGCTCGCTTCAGATCGATTTTTGGATGATTACTCACTCCTCTCGAACAGAGACCACTCAATTATGAAAATAGACTTCAAAGGCTATCCAAGGACACCTTATACACCTCATTTGGACGAGTACAACTCTCAAAATGAAGGGAGACAAAACAGCACACCTGTTTGTGCGAAAACAGTGGTGGTGGCCCCAAAATTTGATTCCAATTGTGTCATGGGCAGTGCTTCTCCATGTGGTGCGGCCAAGGTGAGTCTTCTCACATATTTTCCTTGTCTTGCAGGTACTAATATCATTTGGAGTGGTTCCCAATTGATCCCATTAAATTTGGGGTCCAAAATATCTACCAATACTTCCAAAAATGGGAAGATGGGTACTATTGTTTTATCTTTGTCAAAAATGTCTTTTTGTACTCATCCTAATTTACTTAGAGCAAGTCAACTTCCTAAATCACATTATTGATCTCCAATATGTGTAGGCTCGTCCCAATAATTTACTTGATGAATATTATAGAAGGAAAATCCTACTCCCATTATTTAGCTCAATAAGGCCCAAGGTGGGGTTATAGGCATTTGTATTCTTCCTTAATCATTCAATCACTTATTTGACATTTGTCATACGTATTATTGGGCTCTTTTATTTATTAATAAGTCCCGAATAAGTATTTGCGAAACCCGACACTAGTGTACGAGTTTGAACAGTACGATATTCAACCATGCACTACGTAGAACATTAATCGTTTTACAAATTGTTCGGGAATAAAAAATCCGATACATAAACTTTGAATATCTAAATCAAATCTCCAAGGACATTCGGGTGCGGTGTCACAAAAGCAGCCATATACTCATCAGATAAAAGAGTAGAAGGGTCAAAGTTACTTACCTTTGACGTGCTGGCAGTGAGAGCAGTGGTGGTCCTTTCATCAGGAACTTCCTCCTTCTCTTCATGCATCTCAAACTCATAAGCTTTAAGATCAGAAATGAGTTTCTCAGTGGCATAGGTCTTGATGTTCTTGCTTTCCTGGACTGCAATCACCTTCATCTTCCAAGCTGAAGGCAGTCCCCTGAGGATCTTCATGTTGACCTCTTTGATGGTGAGCTCCTTTCCAAGCTCAGAAATTTCACTGATTAGAATCAGCAGTCTCTCATGCATTTTAGCAATGCATTCTTCTGGCAGAAGTTTGAAATCATCAAACTTCTTCATTGCAATGGTCAGCTTGTTGTCTCTCTCTTGTTCATCACCAGCACCTATCTCATCAAGCTTGTCCCAGATTTCCTTAGCAGTCCTGCACTTCTTTATTCTATTGAAATATCTTTCATCAATAGCTTTGTAGAGAATGTCCTTGGCAATGTTGTCAAGGTTGTACTGCCTTTTCTCTTCCTTGGTCCATTCTGACCGAGCTTTCTCAATCATCTGGGGCTGAGAGTTATCAATGGAGTGAGCAGGATTGATCTTCATGAACTGGATGAAGGGGCCATTTTCCAAGACTTCCCACATTTCATCATGAAGGGCACATAGATGTGCCTTCATTCTGATCTTCCAATCATCATACTTCTGGTCTGTGAACATAAGATGCTTTGCAAGAGAATTATCCATTATAATAAATAAAGAGGCTAAGAACAAGTGGATCTTTGTTCAGAGAGTAACCTAAGAGATTACAAGAACAAGGAGGCTCTGATACCACTTGTTGGTCCCGTTTAATATGGTAATCAGTCTAGAGGGGGGGGGGGGGGGGGGTGAATAGACTGATTGGTTTTTCAAATTTTCTCAAAGTCAAAAATGACTTATCAGAGAATGTCTGATTCTGGTGACAGAGAAAGGCTGGTTCTGATATCAGAACTGGCCTTGGCAGCGGATTCTGATCTGTTCGGGTAGCCTCAAAGACACTAAGGCAAATGCCTTTCTGATAACTCTGAAAACAAGATCTGCTGAGCACAGATTCCAAGTCTTAGAGTTAATCAGTTAATATCCTAAGTGCAGAAATATACATAGCAGTAAAGTAAATGACACCGGATATTTTTATAGTGGTTCAAGGAACAATGCGTTCCTCTAGTCCACTGTTCCACTAGCTTTGAAGTAGATCGGTTACAAAGCTAATCCCTAGCACTTAAGAAGTTCTCCACGCCTTCTTCAAGCCTAGTTGTCACCCGGGATGCAGTCTTGCTTCCTGATGACTGGTCCTTTCACTCAGCTTCCCGGAAGTATCACCACTTCACTGCTGCAGTTACTTGGACGCCCTTCTTTTCAGAAGATCCTTTGAAAAACAAAGTTTTTCCTCCAACTTGCTTCGTCACAAATGATGTTTGATGAAGTTCTTGAAGAGTTGAAGAACAGGATGAACTTTGCTCGTTTGTTGGGGATGAGAGATTTGGAGTTTGAATCTTCCCAACGTAGTATTTTTTCTTGTAGAGTGTTATGAAGGTTGAATCTCAAGAAGTATGTTCAGGAATGGATCAAGAGTTCTTGGCAAAGTTATTTTTCTGTCCTTCGGTGTGTAGCTTATATACTGAGGTTGTCTGCCCGTTGGAGGAGGAGACAACTGCATTAAATGCGCGTACAGTTGACTTGACCGCCGTTTTGGAAGGTTTCTATTTTTATAATATATCTTCCCGGATTCTTTGGTCAATCATTTGCAATCAATCCTTCAGCGTATCAGGCTCATTTAATGTGCATTAAATGCTTTCCTTTCATGCACAGTCTTCTAGCCGTTGGATGTTTTTACCCGTTGAATTCATAGCTGTTGGATGTTGCTTGAAATCTTCTAAGTGTTAGTCGGGCTCTGATCAGGCTCTTCTGATGTGTTGGATTCTGATGGCTTTCTGATGAGTTGAGTTCTGATGGCTTTCTGATCTCTGACTGAACTCTAACTCTGACTCTGATAGGTCCGCTGATGAGTGCCTCTGATCTGTAGTTCTCATCGGTTATCAGATGTCCAAGTTTATCAGCAACTCTCATGGTGCAACTCTGATGGACTTCTGGTAAGAGAACTCTGATGGAGCAGTTCTCATAGAGCAAGTCTGGTCGAGCAGTTCTGATGCACTTCTGATCTGATCCAAAATAGAGCAACTCTGATCGTAGACTACACTAATACTTACAATTGAAAATTCTAATACATAAAATCTAATTGGGGTACTTTAAAATTCTAATCTAATTATCCTAGCATCATCAAAATCTAATTACATTTATTCCTTACAAAGATTCTAAATGAAAGTTTATTTTTAACTTATTTTTTTATGGTGAAAGGTACTTCTCTGGAAATAGTTTAAGGGTTTTGGCATCATCAAAAAGGGGGAAATTGTAAGGAATAAATGTAATTAGATTTTGATGATGCTAGGTTATTTAGATTAGAATTTTGAAGTACCCCCAATTAGATTTTATGTATTAGAATTTTCAATTGTAAGTATTAGTGTAGTCGACGATCAGAGTTGCTCTGCTTTGGATCAGATCAGAAGTGCATCAGGATTGCTCCATGAGAGTTGCTGATAAATTTGGACATCTGATAACCGATGAGAGTTACAGATCAGAGGTACTCATCAGCGGACCTATCAGAGTCAGAGTTAGAGTTTAGTCAGAGATCAGAAAGCCATCAGAACTCAGAAAGCCATCAGAACTCAGAAAGCCATCAGAATCCAACACATCAGAAGATCCTGATCAGTGCCCGACTAACACTTAGAAAGATTTCAAGCAACATCCAACAGCTGTGAATCCAACGAGTAAAAACATCCAACGGCTAGAAGACTGTGCATGAAAGGAAAGCATTTAATGCACATTAAATGAGCCTGATACGCTGAAGGATTGATTGCAAATGATTGACCAAGGAATCCGGGAAGATATATTATAAAAATAGAAACCTTCCAAAACGGTGGTCAAGTCAACAGTACGCGCATTTAATGCAGTTGTCTCCTCCTCCAACGGGCAGACAACCTCAGTATATAAGCTACACAAAGAAGAACAAGGAAGACAACTTTTGCTCCATTCATTAATCTGAACATACTTCTTGAGATTCAACCTTCATAACACTCTACAAGAAAAGTCCTACGTTGGGAAGATTCAAACTTCAAATCCTTCATCCCTAACAATGAGCAAAGTTCATCCTGTTCTTCAAACTTCAAGATCTTCATCTACATATCTTTTGTAACGAAGCAAGTTGGAGAAAACTCTGTTCTCAAAACATCTTCTGCAAAGAAGGGCGTCCAAGTAACTGCAGCAGTGAAGTGGTGATACTTCCGGGAAGCTGAGTGAAAGGACCAGTCATCAGGAAGCAGGACTGCATCCCGGGTGACAACTAGGCTTGAAGAAGGCGTGGAGAACTTCTTAAGTGCTAGGGATTAGCTTTGTAACCGATCTACTTCAAAGCTAGTGGAACAGTGGACTAGAGGAACGCGTTGTTCCTTGAACCACTATAAAAATATCCGGTGTCATTTACTTTACTGCAATTTACATTTCTGCACTTAGGATATTAACTGATTAACTCTAAGACTTGGAATCTGTGTTCAGCAGATCTTGTTTTCAGAGTTATCAGAAAGGCATTTGCCTTAGTGTTTCTGAGGCTACCCGGACAGATCAGAATCTGCTGCCAAGGCCAGTTCTGATATCAGAACCAGCCTTTCTCTGTCACCAGAATCAGACATTCTCTGATAAGTCATTTTGGACTTAGAGAAAATTTGAAAAACCAATCAGTCTATTCACCCCCCCCCCCTCTAGACTGATTACCATATTAAACGGGACCAACATGTTCCCTTGCCAGTTTGTTGATGGTTTTGAAATTTAGGTGGCTAAGCTTCTTGTGCCAGTCCCAGCTTAGCTTTGAATTTTCTTTAGCTATCAAGCAGGTTCCATCTTTTGATGTTTGCCAATCAACAACATAGATATTCTTTCTTCTTTTGGCTGTTAGAACCACTTCCTTTGTTGTCTCATGCTTGACATAGCATAAGGTCTTGGTAAATTCAACTATGTAGCCTTTGTCACAGAATTGGCTAGCACTTAGCAGGTTGAACTTCAGACCTTTGACATAAGAGACATCATCAATGCTTATCTGGTTCTTGATCAGCTTCCCTCTTCCCTTTGTTTGACCATCCTTGTCATTTCCTCCAAAAGTGACTCGGG